CACGGTGAGACGTATGCGTGCGTCGGTCAGCGCCAGTTTGCGCCTAGCCCCAGGAGGTAGTGGGCGCGCAGGCCTTGCTGGTTAAATGCGCCATGCGTCTGTGGGTTCCAAGTGGCTGCTTGACGCCACTACAGATACGCGCTCGGAGTATATAACACCCAACATATCCACCATGAGTAACATGAACTTCTAAAGACCATCTACTTATGACTTTTGCTTGGAAGAAAATGTCAACGATTCCGATCAGACAAAGGCCTAGGGCTGTCGAATTTCTGCTCACCATAATTGCTTATGAATGAAACTGTTCTCTCAAGTGCCTACTTCTTTTTAAAGCAAAGAATATGTGGTCGGCGCTCCATGTGAGCGCACTCGTTCGATTAATTTTCAGATTGTGATAAGTTTTTTATAAATTTCAGATTGAAAAGAAGAGCACGGCTTCAACAGTCAAAGAGCTGATTGAAACTTTATGGTCGGAGATTCCCGAATGTCGGCCTCCTTTTGAGGAAATCAGCAAAAGGTTTAATGCAATCGAAAATTGCAGGTTGGTGCGAACGTTTTCAATGGTTTCTCAGCGTCTTGTTTATTAAGGGAGAAGGTAGCGGCTGTTTCCTCATCAAAGTTTGCGCAAATGCATATGTTACTTGCTCCATTTCTGGCAGATAAAGAGAAAAGGTGATATTTGCTGTAGTAGGAAGGCGAACTGATGATTCAACAGCCAACTGGCGACTGAACTCAGATCACTCAGTCAGCCTAACGTTTTTTGTTTGGATTGACTGACTGGATGGCTTAGCGTCAGGCTGCAATGACTTCACCTTACGGTTGCCTCTATGGCATCTCCAATCCGTGGAGTCCAAGCCAAGTGTGGCGGCACGCCCGAGAGAGACTCCGGCCGCGCCAGCTACACGCGCCCACTCCTGCATCCCTTTATATTTGAGACATCGGGCCGAGGTGGATAGTGTGAGAGTGTGCGGTAGATGCAGTACAAGTCTACACTCACCATAATCTATTTCCTGCGCATGTACTCTTTCAAACGCCACACTGTGAAACGCCATATTAATTTGCGGCAAATTGTGAACTCTATCGAAAACGTCACTCAGACTGCCGACGTAGAGTAAAAGACACGAAACACTTGATGGCAGCCTAATTTAAGTCTGCTTAGTAAGTATAAATATGCGATATGTCGGTTTGAACATATTGTCCGTCAGTCATAACGACTTTACTTACAAGCGTGATAGACGGGACTGCATAATTTAAAGTAAAATTTGTGGTCAGATTGTCCTATGTTGACCGGTTCACAGAATACTTTCATACTGCACCAGCTTGTCAAACCTCATCCCTGCGATAATTGTTTCAGGGCCTACTTATATATCACAAGAAGTCTTGATGAACTGCGGAAATGAGCATGACGTAGGCGCCGGCATGCGTAATGCAGCAAACTGCCTTCGAGTTTAAGCAAAACCACGATATCACTATATTTTGCTGTGATAATTACATTTAAATATAAATTGCAATTTAAGTACAAGCACGAACATTGGAGCTGGAGAAGGAAAAAGAGAAGGCGGAGGCTCTCATAGCTAAGATGCTGCCACTGTAAGTATTTCGCTAGGCGCTTCTCCCCTATAGACCTCTTCGAACTATTTTTTTACAGTGACATTCATGACTGTGCACATTTTGGTGATTTTGGAAATAGATCTAACAAAATTTTTTTTGGGCATTTTTCAGACCGGTTGCACAAGCGCTGGTAGCTGGAAACCCAGTGGATCCGGAAGCCTTCGACAACGTCACCATTTACTTCGGTGACATTGTGGGATTCTCCTTGATCTCCGCCAAATCTACGCCATTGCAAATTGTTGACCTGCTCAATGACATCTACACTACATTTGATGCAACAATTGAGAAGTTTGACGTTTATAAGGTTGTTCTAGAGTTACTGTTTTATTTGAAGTACATATACATTGCCCGATTATTAGTTTAAGGACATTTTTCGGGTGGATATACGCTCTCATTATCAGATTTATAGTTGGGCTGGGTTTGACTAATAAGTAGTGGTACTGTGAGATACCTTTTAAGTAGGTCAGGTAATAGATTTCCTGGAATATCAGAAAGACAGGATCGGGAAACGATAGACGTTAATTGAAATTCGTCCTCGTATATGGTCTAGGGGCAGGCCGCCATTTGGGACCCATGCCGCCTCCGTTCTCCTTGAATCTCTCAAGACGACGGACTTGAACCGATGGGGAAGGAGAAAGTG